GTGGCTTTCTGCGAATTGTCGGCGTGTGCTACTCGTCTTGGGTCAAAGTATCCTCCCGCTGCGAACCGCAAACTCACGTATATTATTATTTTTGTTTGTTTTTGGGTTCTGGGCGCCCGTGGTGCCCTCTTGCATAATTTTTTGGACCGATCAACGGGAGCCCTTTAATCATTAATTAGCGTTAGATCAATCTACTATACTCGGCATCGTTCCGGGGAATCATCTACCATCCTTACTTGTTTCGTTTTTTCCTCTTTTCCTTTTTTTAGGTGGAGACAACATCTCGACGTTAACGGCAGTCATGTTACTTTTAATGATAATTGCCGCCTCACAACTCATTTTTCACATTGATAAATGCGATTCGCACAAGCGATTCGCGTTCGCCACTTCGAGCCTTCATTTCTTTTGGCTTCCAGCGATTTGCATGTGTGCCTCCTGCAAGGCCAAGACTGTCAGCACAGGGATTCAGGGGAATTTGGATTTTATACATACTAAAAAACTTGATTTTGGCATTGCTAAAATATATAAAAATATATTCGGAATAATAATAACCAATTACTAATTTCAGAAATATATATTAGTAATTTTTATTTATCGAAATATACATATTTCAGGGAGCACACCCTCTGATCCCTCAAGGAGCAGGATCTCCGACCTCCAGTCAACTACAAAGAAGATCGCTGGCCAGAAACAAAAGCCATCACAATTTGTCTTGATGGGGGAACCCATAAAAGGGCCCAAAGCGTTACCACCAAGGATGCTCCCTGCATCCGCCTCTCCCCCCTTGAAACCCATAAACATTTAAACATTTTCAACTTGTTAGCAATTAATTAAATAGATCGGCCTCTGGCCAACAGCTTCGACTGTGTCATTTTTCTTCTCGCTTTCCGCTCAGCCCTCAGCGTTAATTACGGCGACAGCATTCAATTTTTATGGCGGAGACACACGCCCCATTTGCATTTCCCTGGGTGTAAGGAACCATATATATAGTCTGGCAACGCTGCGGCACGCTTCAAAAAAAAAAATATATATATATAAAAACCCAAAATAAAATACAAAAAGGCACAAGGTTCCGCCAAAGGTTCAGTTTACTCCTGCTTTTGCCCCGTTTCTGAAATTTATTTCGCTGTTTTTGCAATTTAAGGTAATTATTATGTACCTTTGGGGTAATTTTAACACCTCGACACCATCGACAAATATCATCTGAGGACCGCTCTCCACCAGGAGTTGGATCCAGGCACATATATATATATATATATATGTATATACGTATATAGTAGCGGCTATCAAGCCACCGAAATCGCAACAACAAACGTTTCTTAGAAGCGCAGAGCTTTCAACACCTTCGATGCGTGCCCAGCCAAAGGAGCACATCCTCCAGATCCCAGTCTCCCAGTCCCCCATAGCCATTACTCTATAGCCCCTTTTGGCCCTTCCCGTTGGCCCCCTCTCCCTGGCCCACAGTTGGCCAGTTATTTTTCACACCTCGACAACATTTTTTCGCACTTTGAGGGCGCGCGCGAGCCGAGCCGAGCGGCATATTCGGTTACCACAACAATCAAGCATTGCCGCCACCGCCACAAGGACACTGAGAGAAAATTATAGCGCTAGATATAGGTGAAGATATCCAGGAGCTATATTATCTAGGGTGAGCTAGGATCATTTTACTAATAAAATTTTAATAAAAGCGAGATTTTAGGGTATGTATTCTGATGACAGACTTCTATCTTAGCTGGAGGAGAGATTTTATGACTGAATAATAACTATATTAGATCCTTAATTTTATTTTAAAATATATTAATAAATAAAATATTTAAATTTGTTGGCTTTTAAAGGTTTTATAATATATTATACCCATAATTTTATCCTCAAATATTTTAATAATTCAAATATTTATAGTCTTTCTCTCAGTGTACATCTGCATCTCGGCAGGTCCCGATTCGGACTGCCGTTTTTAATAACCGAAGCTCGACTGCCGCTGATTTAGCCTGGCTGTTATCTCACTCAGTTCATCGGGATGCGCGGCTTGACTTTGACTTTGGTCTCGCCTCGGTTCGGGGTTCGGGGTTCGAGGTTCCCAGTTCCCAGTTCCCGGTCTCGGTCTCTCAGCTTTGGATTCGGTTTCCTTGATGATCCCCCAGGAGGAGTCTCGTATCCTGTGTCCCCTTCCTTCGTTCTCTCTTTGGCGTCGCAATTATCGCAAGTAGCGTGCGTGTAAATTACCGTTATTAGGTGTGATCGTGCAAAAGCCACTTCATCTCTGAGATACATCTTTCTGGCAACAGTTTCACTTTACTTTCGTTTCACTTCATCGAAAAATAAAATATATATATATAGAGAGCAATATATGTTCGTCTGACTATAAGAAATCACGGGGCTAAAAAGTGACAATTTCCGCTTGTCGATCCCAGAGACAACCGGTGGCCACGCGGAACACCCATAAAAAGTCAAATTAATGTGATGACAATAGAGATACGGATCTGGGTTCCCCTTCTGCTGACAGATTTCACGCTTACGATATCGCCTGTAAGAGCCGATCCAGTCCATCACGTCTTGCACTTGTTCAGGGCGAACGTGAGACTACTTTCCGTATATATACATTATTTTTACACCGGGTTCAGGGGTCATTCCATTCAGTAGCTGGTGTTTTGAATTCCAATTAGCGTTAATGAACAGCCAGAGGGCACATAAAATATATAATTAATTGTGTTGTTTCGGAGGCGATAAGGATTTTTGGAAGACGCGTGCAAGGATGCTTCCGCTCGTTGCGGGTTTCTGGGAATGCGAGTCTGGGTTTTCAATTGAATTTACAGATCAATATGTATGGGATGCTGGGAGAAAACCAACCTGGCCCGAGGTCGTTTTTACAATATGGAACCAGTCTAGTCCTGGCTAATTGGAAGAAGAGTCCTAGGTTCTCCTAGCAGAATCCTGTAACCCACCACCGCCAGCAGCAGATGTCGCTGCAGTGCCGCCCAACTGGAAAAGTAGGGTAAAGAGCCAGCCAATTGGAAAGGACATACTGTACATACTCTACAGAGAGGGCGCCACAGTGTGTTGCCCGAACCTGACAACCCTGGCGGCAGCCAGCTGCCGAGAGATCCTGGCAGGTAGATCCGCAGGCACCTCGAAAAAAGGATCAGGATCAACACTTTGCTCGTCGTCATTCGGTTTAATTAATCACTCACGGAATCCGCGGCTAATTAAAATGCTACCAAAACATTTTTACCTCTCCCAAAAAAGGGTGTGTTTGGGGCAAATTGAAGTAGGATTCCCAGGGCCAGGGAAAAAGGGTTTTCTGGCTGTGGGCGTACAGGTGATGACGCACAGGGATTTCCATTCAGGATATTAGAAATGCATTAGGATTCGGTGGCAGCTTTTAAAAACCAATTAAAATGCATAAACGATTTTCAATTCGATTTTCTTGGCTTCTTTCCAACTCTCCTTTAAAGGGGGGGATCCTTCTGGGTCCTCCTCCTATTTTCTGATCTCCTTCTGGCAGCTGCTTCTGGGTTAATCAAGGTTTTATACATTTATTGGTTGCAATTCTCGTTACGTTACGCTGCTACCCCCTTGCTGCCCCTAACGGTTTTCTCAGGCTGCAACAAAGTTGGGACCTTTCTGGCCTCGTTCTGGCATTTTTTACAGATTTATGAAGGCTTTATGGCTGGCAGGGAGGGAGCTGGAGAGGTAGAACTTCACTTGTTACGGCGGACATAAACACGGACGAAGTCACTGGTCTCCGATGAGTGGAGGAGTAGAAGGTTAATGAGGCTGAGTTCTTACACTTTGCCAGAAAACGATAACAATTTTTTGAATTTTTAGTACTTGAAATAATGTATTTCTTTAAGTAATTTGCATTAGTTAGCAGTAAATAATATATTAACTAAGTTAACTGAAGCTAAGCGCGTTGTTTCTATGTAAAAATAACAACACTTTCTGATATTCCTTCCAAGTTAAACCTCGTTAACTGATATAAAACATCTAAGGGTACTCTCATTTACCTTTAGATTTATATATTTTCATATAAATTTTATAAACTAGAGCCTTAATACCCGAATTTAATATATATTTTCCCAAGTGTAGCGCCAAAGAAGGTCCGAGATGACGGCGAGTCCCAGTTCGATTCCTGCCTTCTATAATCACAAAAAAACCCCTGACAAGGCCCTTGCAAAATCGTATTGTTTATATAATTTTTTTCTGTGCTTTTTGGTTTCTGTTTTTTTTTTTAGGACCCCAAACGCCGGCCTCTTGGTAGTCATGGTGCAGCACACACTTGTGGGATTTGTCTGGATGTTGTTGCTGATTTTTTTTGTTCTGAAGCTTATGGAAATTATCCACAAATATATATACTTTTGACTTGGGCTGATCGGAAGCACGTGTCAAAAACCAAAAGGGGGTCCCGAGAAATGAGAAAAAGTTCTACAAACCCATGAGAACACATAAACATACATATGTATATACAAGTTGGAGACAGTGAAAGTCCCTCCGCTGGCTCTCCTTTTCACTTGGGTTCCTTTCACATGATGGATCACATTTTATATCAAGTTCCATAATGAAACCCCCCCTGCTCCTCTCTGTGCTCGCTCTGCTGCTTTGACAAAAGTGGAAGTGCATTCAAGTCGTCTTCTCCTTTTCTTTGGCCCATGACAAGGATCTCTGAGATTTAAGTCTCGATTTTCCCAAAACGCAAACGCAAAGAAAAGGAAAAGGAAAACAGGGACAAAGGCACACACACACATACATAGAGCACCCACAGGCAAAAATTAGAGAGGGAAGGCAGTCACAGCCCCGATCACTTGTACTTGTTGTGCCCAAAGGACTCACAGGACTCCGGGGCAGGTAGCGGCAAAACCCCTAGCTCAAGTAACCCCTGTTGCTGCTGCTGCTGCGGCCCTCAGTCGCTGTCGCAGTCGCTGTCGCCGTCGCCGTTGCCGACCACGAGGGAGTAGGTATAAAAGGCAGCGACGGCAGGACGAGGTTTATCATTGCGGAATCTGATTCCACTACAGCACTACCTCTAGCCAGAGCACACACAGCAACTAGAACTCGCACGGATTACCATGACGAGCATCTGCAGCAGCAACTACCAGCAACAGCAGCACTACCAGAACATCAACATGCTGCTCCAGCACCACCAGAGCCTGCAGCAGAACCAACAACAGCAGCAGCTCCTGGGCCAGCAGCAGCAGCAGCACCATCAGCTGATCGCTCCCAAGATGCCGCTGGGCAACAGCCAGCTCCAGAACATGCTGCCAACCAGCCAGTCCCAGTCGCAGCTGGGACCGATGATGAAGAAGAAGTACAACTACAACACGGTGCCCTACGGCGAGCAGCTGCCCTCGGTGGCCCGGAGGAACGCCCGGGAGCGTAACCGGGTCAAGCAGGTGAACAACGGCTTCGTCAATCTCCGCCAGCATCTGCCCCAGAGCGTGATCAACTCGCTGTCGAGCGGCGGTCGCGGTGCCAGCAAGAAGCTGTCCAAGGTGGACACCCTGCGCATTGCCGTGGAGTATATCCGTGGCCTGCAGGACATGCTGGACGACGGCACCGGCCCCCGGCGCCCCATCTACAACTCGGCGGACGAGAGCAGCAACGACAGCTACAACGACTTTGACAACGGCAGCCTGGAGGACGACAGCAGCCCGCAGGAGCAGTTCCTGGTGGGCCAGCTCAACTCCTACCACTCTGCCTCGCCCACGCCCTCGTACTCCGGCTCCGATGTCTCCGGCTCCAACACCAACTCGCACTCCGGCTCCAGCTCCATGGGCTATGTGAAGCAGGAGCTGCCCGAGCATGACCTCAAGTTTGAGTCCTTCGACAGCTTCAGCGACGAGCAGCCCGACGACGAGGAGCTCCTCGACTACATCTCGTCGTGGCAGGAGCAGTGAGTGGATCTCAGTACCGCCGAGCAGCCAAAAAAAAGAAACCCTGTACAAATTGTAAATAGCTCCGAAAATTGTTGCCTTAGGAGAGAGTGAGCGAAGAAACCAAGTCCCAGATTCTATGTTAGTTCGTAAGCAGCAAACCCTTTTTTTTCGATAGCCTAAGCCACATGGAAGACAATGATATAAAACCATTTTTTTTCATAGTTATAAGTTTGTTATAAGCATGGAAGACACTAAACTAACTAGCTATAAGGCCCTATTATTGAAATGCAATAATAAAACGAAGACACTAAACATAAATTCAAAGCAAATCTTTTCATTCAAGAAGAAGCGATTTTCTTAGGTACATTTCTATGAAGATCTAAAAAATCTAGAAAATTAAACAGGTAAAGGAAGTTGCGAAAACTGCTGAGAAGTGAAAGTAAATTTACTTTATACCACCAATTCCAATACCAATTTCTCCTACAAGTTTTTTATAATGTGGAAGAAAGGATTACAAAACAAAAAATTATTTTAAAATACAAACATCACTTTGCATGGATTATAAAATATATTTTAAATAATTTTAAAAAATTTATAAAATTATTTCAACTATTTTGAAAATTTCTAGAGAGAATATTCCACTTGAAAATAAACAATTGAAGAAAATTACGAAAACAGCTAAGAAGTAAAAGTGGATTTATATAATTTTAATAATTTTATAAATATTTTAAAATCCATACATCACTTTGCATTGATTCTAAAATATATTTTAAATAATAGCTAAGAAGTAAAAGTAAATGTATATAATTTTAATAATTTTATAAATATTTTAAAATACATACATCACTTTGCATTGATTCTAAAATATATTTTAAATAATTTTAAAAAATTTATAAAATTATTTCAACCATTTTGAATGATTCTAAACAGCATATTTCTCTTCAGTCAAGTGCTCGAAAGGACCTTCTTGACCAGAATCGGCATAATCAAAGGGCACACCAGCGCAATCTTAACTCCACATCTTGGATATATTAAAGGATTTAAGGACTTGGAAGCCTTAGCTTGAAATACACACTAGTTTTCTGCAGCAGAGAGATCGCCTGCGAGGCTAGTGACTCACATATAGCCATGGCAACGCACAGCCCACCGGGAACGGAACTCAACACCCGACCGGAAGCAGCGGCGAATAACGAGTTTCGATTTGGCCACCACGTATTGTTAATGGGCCCCGCGCCGCGAGCGGAAATAGGCAGTCACGCCTGAGAGGCTGAAGTGGACTAGGACTTGCGCTCCTGGCTAGGCATGGGCATAGCTCCCCTCCTCCTCCTACCAGCTGAAAGGATCGATCCACGTGGCTGGCGCACCCCAGCCCGACAGCAAGACAGCTTTCCTCGCAAGCTGGACGTAATCACGAGCCGTGAAATGCACTTCCGCTACCCCCTTGATGCACTCAGGGAAGGGCCGCCAGGTAATTGCTCTGCGCTAATATATTTATATTTATATTCTCTGATCTGTCCTGCAAAACCCACCCCCGGGCGACGCAAACTTTCCGGGCGTGTGCCGCCGGTTTAATATGCAGGAATGTGCGATGTCTCCTAGGCAACAGATGCAGATGCAGGGCGGCGCCACGCCCACTGCCAAATTATGCTAATGCCAATAGCGTACTGGACACGTGCATGAGGCACAAGGATCGCTGACCCCGCCCCGGTAGGATATGAACAGGAACAGGAAGCATATCGTCTTGCCGAAAAAATTTCAATATTTTTCCTTAAAAACCGAAAAGGAGGAATAAAGGAAGCAGCAGGGAGAGGGGGGAGAAGGAAGAGCAGGAGGAAGGAATAGGGATATGTGTGTAGGTAGTGGACGAGGACGAGGACGAGGACGAGGCCGAAGGACAATGCGAAATGTGATTGAATGTCAGCTTAAGATAAAACCAGGAAACGCAACTGAATTCGTACGCTGAATGAGAGGGAAACTCTCGGATCTCGTCTCGTGTCTCATTGTTACCGGATATCAAAAGGAGCTTACCAGGATCCTGGATCCTGAGCGCAGGACCTGTCCAGCCTATGTATGTAGGTGTCAAAATACGGCACTAAGCCAATGTCCCCTAATAGGCCCAGGGCCCTGAGCCGGAGTCTTATGCAATCTTGGCTCATGGCTCAAAAAATAAAAGTACATAAGGTAGATCCATTTTCAGTTAGCCGCTCCTGATCTCGTCTCCATCTCAATCTCAAATGGCTGAGATCACTGAACAGTAAATTCATTTTCTGGCCTCTCCCAGGAAGTAACTTCTTTGGGTTGTCCTTGTCGCAGGAAGTGCGTATTTGTTTTGCATCTACTTCGGACACATAAAGTGTCCTCTGCTCGCTCGTTTATTTATTTTCGTAGATGCGCCCTCGGGAAATACGAGAGGCAATGTTATTCTATCATGTCGCAATTCAAAGGAAACCCGAAGGACACGCCACTTGTAGTCCTTGTACTTGTAGCTGTACTTGTACTTGTACCGCTCCCAATTCCCATTCCCATATTCCGTAGCCTTGTAGCTTGAGTTATGTGACTTTATGACGGCGTCGCGGCCCAAGATTTATGACCCATGTGTCAAAATACAAGAGAGGTCGTATTGCCCTCCCGAACTTCCCCCCTCCGAAGATCGATCTATCATCCTTTGGCCTCTTGTTGGACTTCGCACTTGGCCAGGCGTCAAGTGGCAGCTCCGTCCGGCTTCCTGGTAGCTTGCTAATGAGGCGACAGCGAGTGGCGGCCACCATACTCCAGTCTAGAGTCCTCGTTGTCCAAGTGATTCGACGAATGCCAGCAACTGCTTGGATACCAGGAAGGTGGGCCCAGCCAGCAGGAAGGATCTGTGTTGCCAAAACACTTACTGCTTAAACTAACAAGGAAACGACCCTTTAAAGTAGTCTTGAAAAATAATAGAGAGATCTTCGGGGTTAAACGAAGTGAATTCCATTAAAGTGTTCACCGAAAAGTCGTACAAATTTCTTGTATTAATATATAAGGAATATATCTATACTCCCTCCTAGCATTTTGAAAGGATTCTTTTCTTAGATCTGCGATCTAACCACTCCTTTGCCTGTCTTCAGGGAAACAACTCATTTGGCCAGTCATCGCCACGGGCATTCCAGTGATTAGCTAACAGCATGATGTGATCCACAGCACCCTCGCAGTCCTGTTCCTTTATCGTAGCAATTCTGGATATATATTTATAGTACGCCACATTTAGCAGAGTGTGAAGAACTGACGGTAGTTAAATGACTTCGTTGGATGCACTCTCCATTCAGGACAGGATCGGCTCTTTGACTTGATTGTTGACATGATGGGATGGATGGAGGAGATACGAGGGGAGGGGGAGAAACTAACCGCAGAATCAACAATGGCGCAGATCCAGACAATGCTCTGCTGCACACGTGTCCGATTCGGAATCGGATTCCCTGTACCCTCGCAACTATGTATGCTGGTTCGGGGTCCAATAAACTATCAGAGGCAATCAATGTCAGAGCGTTTTGTAGAGCAACAGCAAAAAGCAAAAGCCAGATCACAATGCCGCGCTATCGGGAGATCCGAAATGAAAGGACTTCCCTGGAATATCCTGCGGCCCATTGTCCTCGGAATGAAAAGTGATTTCTTTGCTTTCGTCGCCGATGAACTGCGCGTTTCACTTTACACTGGCAAAGGTTTCGTTTTTTGTTGGATCTTGAGTCTTGAATCTTTCCTCTCCCCTTGCGGCGGGGCTGAGGTATCCATCAAATGTCGAATGAATCTGCGGGATTCTGCGGGGCTTCGTTACACGCTGGTCCCCCTGCTATCCTCCGCCTGGCAGGACATTAGCATTTAAGGCATTTCGCTGCAGCGTGTCCGATGAGCACCGTGGGCACCGTGCCGAATCCTCTACCTGTTCTTGCACTCTTTCTTTCTATTTCCCAGTTTCCCGGGGAAATTTGCGGGTTTTCACGTGGAAATTTGCGAAACGAACAAGTGAAATGGCGTGAAAATCCGGAACCGAATCGAGCGCAGGCGAACACGTGTTTGTTGTTAAGGGCGCGACAATGTCACGGACTAACGATCTACGGCAGAGGGACATCTCGGAGTACTATATGGTTTCTGTAGTGTTTGCAAAGTGGGAGATTTTTCGGGAGGGAGAAAAGGCTGATTGATATCCTTGGCTAAATCCGATTCGGGGACATGGACTATTTGATCTGCTAGAAGGGAGTTTACTCATTTAAAACCATGTTGTTTTATCTGCGCTCTTGATCTTTCTTTCATCATTCAAAGTCTTCCGTTGACCAAACCCATTTTTGTGATATTATATTCCAGGCCATGAGAGCAGTAGCTTGGCCTGATGACTGATTCGCCAGACCCTTGACCCTGGGAACTTGGTCAGAGTTTCGCTAAAATACTGCACACAAAAACATACTTAAACGGAGATTAAGAAAATCAGATCAGAGCCGAAAATCAGGCCCAGACACAAAGGCAGCGCTGGAAAACCACAAAGACACAGTGGAAGGGGGAGGGAAATCAATGCGAGGTCAAAGCCTTGGGTTGAGGTTAAAAAATTGAGGTCGCTGATCACTCGGGGCATGGCAAGTCTTCAAAGCAAAGTCACCGACCGAAACGGAGAAAATGTCAACCACAAGACGGCGATCTAGATACACTCTCTCTTCGAGGATAATGATCGAGTTGATGACGCTGGCGGAGGCCTTTGATCTGGCCCCGTTTCTATTCCGAGTCCCCCGTATGTCCTGGCTTTGTTTTTGGTGACTGCCTCCTACGATGCGATAATCGATTTATCAACTAAAAAGCAAGACCGAAATGCGCTTTGCAAAAAAAAAGTATCTGGGTGTGGTGCATTGTGGAAACTCCAAACGCAACCGCCGCCGCCAATTTTTAATGCACATTGAGGTGCATTAAGACGTGAAATTGTCACCATTGTTCCCGCCATTGTCCTGCTTGCCATGGCCCACAATGCACATTCAACTTCAACAGCAAAGAGAGCAGTTCCACTCCGCAGCCGGACCTCAAAGGATAATGAAATCGGTGCGGATCCTGCGGCGATGACAGCATCGAAGGGAGATCCAGAGCGGAGACTGCTTTCAGCATTTGCGCAACCGAGTTTTCATGGACCGCATGCCACACCCACGGCTGGGAAATGTGAAAAGAGGAAGCCCCGAAAGAAAAATGTATAGGAAAAACAGGGAAAAAGACTCGAAAAAATGGGCGTCGACGCTTTAACACACAAAAAGAACAAGAAGAAGAGCGTTTCCAGGCCAAAATGCACATGTACAAAGCCACAGAAAACCAAA